TTTTTTTTTCAAGAAAATGTTGACTGAAGAACGGAACCGTTCTTGATCTTTGGATTATCTTAACATAGAGCAATTACTAGATCGGTTTCGGTCGTGGATCAGGGTGTGATAGTGATCTTCGGCACAAAAATGCGCAACGCACTAGTTCTCCTCGAGGAAAACTGCAACAAATTTCTGCTTTCCTTTTCGCAGGAGAAAAGCTACGAAAATGCAGCCTTCGGTTACTTGTTGTACAGTTGTGGATAATCGCTTTCACTTGCTCGGTATCAAAGATGGAAAACGTATCCCAAAATGTTGTACACAGTGGGTGCAGTTTTCTCCTTGAGTTGTCCGCCAAAAATCGCACTGAGGAACCGTTCTATCGCAAGGACAAGTTGGCGTCTCATATTTGAACGGTTTGGCGCCGAAACCTTGTTAATTTTTCACTCGATTTTACATTACGTGCTGAAGAGCATCCTGCTCGTCTCTCTGTCTCCGTGCAATAGTAGTTTAAGTTTTCTTTGTTTGTTAACGTTTGGCATTAGATTGTAGGAAGATTGTGCTGGCAATATAATTTTACATTTGATAGGACTAGCCGTAGCTGCGTCACTCTTCGGTAAAGTGTTTGTACAGTACAGAAAAGCTTTTTATTAATTTGGAAAGAAGAACTAGCCTAAAGGTAAAAATCAACTTGTGAGACTAAAAGGTGCGCGCGTGGGTCCTGACTTCAAAACACGACACCAGAAGATTCCGAGTTTGTTTATCCACCGCCTTAATCAAACTGAAACTTCTGAAGGTGAAAATCAAGCACGTCTACAAAGTACTTACGTGCCGTTCCTGATTTTATACGTTCATATTTGCTGCAACAACACGCCCAGCGGATCTGCTCCTGCTACCGCTGCCGCCAAGTGTTATATGGATGAAGTTGCTCGGTGTAGAACTCGTGTCTTTGTTGCTGATTATCTTTGTCCTCCCGTCCCGGTCCGGGTGGTCCGTCTTCGTAGTACAGCCTCCCACAATGACCGCCATGTGATCCTCATGCTGGAGAGACGGGTAGTACGACCCCCCTTTGGTGCCGAAGTCCGAGTCGTCCTGTTCCTCCGCCGCTGGCAGCGAAGTCCGGTTGTATGCGTGGCAAATAAATATCTGGGACAGGAACCGGTAAAACGAAATTCGTGAAGATGCGACGTCCAGACGCCGGTGCCTGTCTAACAAAAATTTGGCGTCTCGCACGAGTTGCAAAAGATGAACCCACTTTTGGCCATGCGGTTCGGGGATTTCACCTAAACAGGTGTCGCTATTGAGGTCTTGCTGCAGAAGAACCTGTGATGCTAAGTCCACTGAATCCGAATTTGTCTTTGTGAAACACAAGCGGCCTGGAAAAGAAGTTGCATGACAAGCTCCTGCATCTTTCCAGACCTCGACGACCAAGGCCTAGATATATTTGCATCTGATATGTTGCTCATCATCCTCACCATCCTCGACACAGAAGCACTTGTCGGTGTCGAGCCTGCGAGATCGGAAGCAGTAGCCCAATTGTTCGAATTGGAAGAATTGGCATTGTGCAATGCAAATTTCCCTCACACCCACACGTACAAAATTGATGGTTAAATTTGTTAGACAAGTTTCACCATCAATCTACTAAATAAGTACAGAGTGGAGTGCCACTTGTCATGCTGAAAGAATAGTCTAGTGCCGAAGGTAAGTTTTGTCAGACGGAAACCACATTTCGACATATTGACAAATGCCATTTGTTTTGTACGTGCACGGGAATTATATTAAATCTACTGTGAATAAGAATGGTAGAAGGGGAACAAATTCGTCTTGTTTCGCCGGCTTTGTTCAACATCACTGAATGCCCCAGCAGGCGCACTCCCTCTAGTGCTGTGCTCCCGGTCCCGCCTGGCTGCGTAGATCGCGAACCCGTGAAAGAGCAGCAGTAGCAACGCCATGAGTGCAACCAGGTGGCAAATCGGGTTCCAACCACTTCGTGACGAGGCCACCGACCATTGATTGTAGTGTAGTTGTTCTGCAGCAGTAGACAGGACAGCAGTTGCATCAGAAGGAAAAACTTCCCCAGTCTCAACTAATTTTGCAAAAATCTGATGACTTCCTTGCGACAGTCTTTCGCCAGGATGCTCGACATCCACCAACAAAGTGGGCTTTTCTTTCATCCGCGACCGCGCGTGCTTTGTCTTCCTTAATGCGAAATATAGCCGCCGGGGCGGAGGTAGTGAGGTCGGTGGCGTTTTCTTGCCGACCGT